TTATGTCGAAGTTCGCCCTCCCGATTAAGGTCTTGCAATCCCGCAAACTCTTTTCGCGCACGAACGATATCCATCCTCGATGTTGACGAGTGCCGTCTTCCCCTATCTTCCAGGACGTTCTCACGTACTGCACGCGGAAAATTTCTCTGGCCACCTCGTCCGTAATAAGCGTTTCCAAAAACTCCACTTCCCGGTATTTAGCGTCGTCTAACGTGAAACACCAATGCAAGCTTTTCGCTTCCGCAACCGATCCGACCTCCGCGTTGGAAGACATGGTGTCTGAGTGAAGACAAATGCCTCGTTGGGCGTGTATGTATATATATCTTCAAAAGTAAAGGTGTTTTTTGATTTTGACGATAGCAGACAGGGAGAAGAGATGGATCCGCCGTCGAGCAATTACCTGATAATTGGAAGGGACGAATCTTGGGAACGGGAGATCTTTAAGTTGGTGAAGAAGAATAACCCAAATGCGAAGATGACGTGTCGGCACTACGTTCCCGTCGAATCCGAATTATCCGAGACTGTCGCAGATGACGAATCGAAGGTGGTCGGCGGTCGAGAGGAGACGACGATGCCTGGATCGAAGAAGGAGGAGCGGGTACACGTTGATTTTTAGATTTTGATAAGAGTCTGTCCAGCTTCGTGATGACCGGAGCGACGTCACTTACACGAAATGTCGCTCCTGTATAGATCCATTTTAATTTGAGTATTAAAGCATAAAAGGCCAAATGATTAACCGGATTTCCATTCGCGATGGAGACTGTCAGACTGGAACGGTTTGTAAAGGCTGCGAGCGGTCTGCGTGTGATCGAACGTCAGATTAAATTGCTGGTATCGACACTCTACCTAGAAGGTCGAGAGTTGGTCTATATGTATCCACTAGAAGAATTGCATTTAGAATTTCAACAGATATCGGAGTCGTGCATCGACCTCGTTGAAAAATTTGTAACGAAAGGAATGGCAGAAGTCGACGTCGCCGGTTGGCAGTGTTCCACGAACGTAACCGACGACGAATTCGATGCGATGCTTTGCACCGATCTAACGATGGCCGATCGAAATCTCCACCGTTACGCCTTAAACATGGTGTCTGTTGCGGATAAGGACTCCGAGTTGGATTATGTGGCCGTGTTACTCGAACACTCGAATGTCTTTACAGTTCTGCTGCACGAACTGCAGACGTACACCCGCACACCCAGTACACCCGCGCAGACCGAGCCGTGCCGTAAAGAAGCGGTGATTGATCTTGCCACTTGCAAGCAGTTTCACTCTCGTCTCGCAAACGTTAAATTAATTTTAGCCGGAGTTCAGGGTCTGTTCTGGAGTGATTGCAAGTTTTTCCGACTGCAGATAATAAAGTACGAGCTGAATGCCCAAGTCATGCTACTCGAAAGCCATTTCTCGAAATTACAAAATTGGGAAAAGCATTCGCAATTTGGCGTCGACGTTTTGGAATCGGAATTACGTATGGTGGACGTACAACATTTCGTTGAGACAGCAGAAAAATTGAAAAGGGAACAGGATGCAATGTTTTCGCTCCTGGGTTCATGCCTACTGGAAGACGGAATAGACGAGCTAGCTAGGGCCATTGTCGGTCTATTTTCACCTTATATGTTTGTTTGTTTCATTTTATTTTTACTACTAGGATTTTGCAAAGCAGACATATTTCTTTCTTATGCACCAGATTACAATCATGGATTTTCGTAACTCTCATGTCATTTTCATAAGTGTTAATTTAAAGAAATTTAAAATAAAGTTACACTGTTCTCGTTGCCTTTTTTTAATAGTAAAACTCATCGTATAGAATCTATATGGATGCAAAAAGAAACATATTTTTTGTTTTAATTTTTTTTGTTAACACTTGAAAATTGCAGTCCCTTCGTCGAGTTTATCCTTCCTGAGACGTTCGACTATCGGAGTTCTGCACATGGAACACGTCGCCGTACGACATGCGCACATAGCGCACGAGATCATGTGCCCGCAAGGTTTCGTAACGACGGCTACGGGAGCATCGTAACATATAGCCCATGTTTCTTCTTCCGACCATTTCTTCTCGGGTATACCGAGTATGTCGTTCATCTTTCTGGTTAACGTTTTTTCTTCTTGGAGGATTTTCCCGACGCTTGTCTCGCAGGATTCGAATGCAATTTCGTACTCCCTTATTCTTTTCGCACGCTCTTCTTCCGTGTCCGGTTTGTTGCAAAAAATCTTTTTCAACGTCAGCATTTGCCTGTGCAGTTCTTCAAATTCAGTTAACAAGCACTTCACGGAAGGCTTAATCTCGTCGATGCGGTGGTCCGATACTTTTTTCCTGAACTCGTCGCATTTATCGCTGACCTCTTCAATTCGAAGATTCACGTAATCGATACCAGGTACCAAATCCTTGATCGACAACTTCATAATGAATGTGAATATGTAACGATTTTAACTGTTAATGGTTCCGCAAAAGCAAATGCGAGAATATCAAACTGTTATGCGAATTTTATCACGTTTGAAAACAAAAACACGAAGTCGTCATCTATTTTCAGCGCTTACGTCATCGGAATTGGGAAACGGTGATTGGCTTGCACGTACGGCATCGAATTGCAGGAAGCAGGAAGTGCAAGGAAAACGTCATCCACGAACACGAACACGTCATCGATACATTTCCTTTCCCCCGATAAGTACGGAGTTACCGAAAGCGTGCTGGCAGAGCAACGAGAGATGAACGCGGTCGAAGTCCTCCTATCAGTTTCGGTCACGCTGAACGTCATGGTTTTCCTCTACACACAGCTGTCCCATAGATACGAATTAACTAAAGCGCCCCCACCGTTTAATAACGCGTTGAGGAGTTGCGGAACAAACAATATGTAAACTCACGTGTGATAAACAAAACCTATCTTGCATAAAATGACTGTATTAAAACAGCCAATGAAAACACAATTAGAGAAGAAAATAAGGCAAAATCATGAATATTCATGAAAAAGTGTACCGGAAGAAGGTTGCAAGATGTTGTTGACAGTTGTTCACGTGGAATTTCGAGGCGGGCATTTAATCGAAGTTGTGGCAAATTTCAGACCTCCGTCGTTTAATTTTTTCAATTAAACGCAACTAAAAAGTAAGTAAAATTTGTTTTTCTATATCTTTGTAAAATCTATTACTCATCAAAATTCTTGAGTAACAGTTGATAACTGAGTTATTCGTAAGTGTTGTGGCAGGTGAGATATCAAGAGGTGATGGTGACTAGGGGCCTATCTATTAGCGTAGGTAGGGTGTGAATGCCATATTCTGGCCTAGGGCCTATGCGTAGATTTGCTAAGCTTCGTGTGAAATGCTAGGCCTACTGTACACAGCCACATCCGTGTATTGCGGGGGTTTGTGTATATAGCGGTGTTGCATATATTGCGTCTAGGCTCGGTCCTAGGCCAGGGGCCTAAGCCTAGCCCATGTGTTTTTCTTGTTTTGACCATCTTTTGGTCAACTGAAACTGAAACTTGTTTTGTCATTACTTTATAATGTATTGGAATGTACTAATATATCCTTCTAGTCTAGGTAGGCCTGTGTACTGTCTGTGAGCCTAGTGGTTGTTAATTTTGCTAGTAATCATAAGCCCAGGAGTTTTATTAATAATAAAAAAAATTTAAAAAAATAATAATTTATATAAATATGATAATAATAATAATATTAATAATAATAAAAATAATAGTAATAATAATACGATAATAATAATAATAATAATAACAAAAATAATTGGTTGTTACTGTAATATTGCTAATCATAGGCCCAGGAGTTTTTAAATAATAATAATAATACGGTAATACTGTAGTGTAATAACAAAAATAATACGGTAATATAAATTCTGCATATAGGCCTGGTGTTTTTAGTTATACAGTTTTTATCGGTTGACTGGCACATACAGTGTACTATAGGTGTAGCAATCATTATTCTATATCATACAGTAGTATAAATATAATTTTGACTTTTTTCAGGTACATGTATCTTGATGGTATTAACTAAATATGTTGACTAAAGACCCATTCTACAAGCATTCAACATGCACAGCTTCATAAGATCAGGGATATTATAGTCAAGCAGGTAGGCCTACCATTGTTGTTCAACATGATGGTGGAAAGAGGAGTGATTGCTATACACTGTACTGTATTTCAATTTACAATGTTTCGTTTACATGATTTAATAAAATGGCGCCTAAAATTAAAAAACAAAACAAAAAAGCATACAATGTGGCTTTCATTAGCCATTCAAATAAGATGATTTTATTGGGCCAAACTAAACACATTCATCCACTGAACTGCCTGACTTTATTTTCTTATTACAAAGTGTAAACAAGTCCTTCCTGAATGGAGACAATTACACCTTTAAAGAACGTTATAAAAGAGTTTACCAATAACTTCTGTAAATTCAGGACTGGGGCTAGTTTAAATAATTGTTTTGTATGACAAGAATAAAAATAAATTTACTCCCAATATTCTTATTACATCTTATCTGGTTAATCAACTGTCACACCACACTGTTTATAAGACTCATCTCCTTATTTACTTACATATTATTTTTTACATTGTATATTTCACATTTATACGGAGGCGACCAAGCACAAACCCTTTAAACGACCAAGGCGACGCCATACAAAGCTAAAACAAACATCACTAGTCAACCTGAAGAATTGAAGGGTGCATTCATGAAATGTATGTGAGTAAAAATTACAACTCTTTCTTTATTGTTATCAACAAAAACAAATTATATATTATAAATATTGATTTGGATCCAGTTGAATTTATTTTAAGATAAATTTTCAAATTGACTCCCGATTTTTTTTTTATGAGACAGAAAACTCCTCTTGTCCAAAACTATCATGAAGGGATTGCCCGGATGTTGGTTTCAAGGGGAGCAGACCTCACATGCTCTCTCACTAACTCCTATTGATATTCATCTGGGCCATTGTAAAGGTAATAATTTTACTAAATAAAAATGTTATCATCTCAAAATCGGATTTCAAACCATTGCCTGGTTTGGTTTGACCGCGTCACATATATTCCTATACATAATTATACCCCATAAACCATAGGCCTAACAACATTAAGTCACAGTTAACCTGTTTAATCCCCAACTGAACTGCATTGGGTACAATAATTAATTTGTCAGTATGATACATTTGTACACATGCTGGTAATTTCTTGTAATACTGTTGTTGTAACCATACTATTTTTACTTTTTATATAGGATTTTAATGCATACTCTAACATGTTCCCTTAATTGTAAGGCTTTACTCTATTCATACTGCAGAACTTCCATCCAATATAAAGCTCAATATTTAAAAAAAATGGATACTATTATTGCATCAATAATAATATTGAAAACATATAAAATTATTGTTGTTTTAAGTACATTTCTGCTGATTTCATAATATAAAATGATTTGCATTGCAAAATATTTCTATAAATTACAATATGGTAGTTTTAATTGTGCTGTAAATGATTCTTAAGAAAATAAAAATAAATAAGGTGTCCCATTAATAGGGATTTTACTGTTAGACCGTCTTCTAATTTTGAATATAATTTTATTTTGTTTGTGATACTGGACACTGGACAAGAAATGGCAAAAACGCTTTGTACAGTAGCATGCTGGGTGTCAACAAAGCCATCTGCAGCTGCTTTCAATTAACTGTAAGTCTGGATTTGTATTGTCTCAAAAGCAGTAAATTCAAACTTTCAAATATATACAGTACATTTTTTACACAGCAGGCTCACACATTGAACAAAACACAGTCTTTAAGCTATCATTAGCCAAATGCAACATAAAAGCTGAATTTGACTAAATATGTTTTTTTCAAAATTAGCTATTTATTTTCATACTGAATTAGCCCTAATTGCTAAATTGTGTTTTTGGCTAGCTTAAACTCTGAATACACTTTAATTGAAATACTTTACTTCAATGATTAAGCCAGTGAAGTAGCTGGAAAGGGCTCATCCATAGTTTCAAAATTTCTACAAGAGTAGAAAACATGTTCTTCTCTGTGAACGCCCTCAATTAAATGATTATTGTGAATTTGATAATATTGTTTGATCTCTTTCATAAA